ACAAATGCTGTTGGTGTATTCATATAATACATATAATTCATATAATAGTTAACCACCTTCAGATCTTCTGAGAAAGTAAAAGCACTGTCACCTTCAAGTCGCAGCTACATTTTCATGCCTACTCAGTTCTGGGTGCAGTGCATACATATTTAAGATCTAATCTTCACATAACCTCATATGATCAGTATTAAACAGATGATGTCAGTGTTGGAGCCTCAAAAACCTACTGTACTTGTTTAGATGAGAAAATACCAAAAGAGTAGATACCTTTAATGCTGTGTAATTATGGCCATGGATGATTTGAACCAGTTGATTGTGATGGGAAAATCAGGGTTACACATTCCTGCCACAGAAGACAGTTTCCTTGGCCCAGAACTTACTATTTGAGACACCAGCTGTAGGCCTGGTTGAGGAGCACAGATGGGCTGTCATGGTCTCCGAATGAGATGGAACTCTTCCTAATTGAGAGTCCCACTTTCATGGCATTATGATCTGTAGCCTCGTATGACTGAACGACCCGGGTAGGAAGGGTTAGGCAGCTGTCACTTGAGAGCTTGGAAGAACTCATTCCAGACATGGTTGTATTCTGTGCTCCCAGCATCCTGCGTTCTGTATCCCAGTTCTTCTACATTGTGTCATTTGTGAGCCATTCATGTTAAGTTTAAGAATATGCCTTCCATCTCAGACTCTTACACCTGATTGTCTACTCTGTGTAGAGCTGTGTGTGTGTGTGTGTGTGTGTGTGTGTGTGTGTGTGTGTGTGTGTGTGTGTGTGTGTGTGTGTGTGTGTGTGTGTGTGTGTGTGTGTGTGTGTGTGTGTGTGTGTGTGTGTGTGTGTGTGACTTGAACTCAAGCACTGGGCTCTGCCCCTGGAGCTTTAATACTCTACCACTTGAGTCACAGATCTACCTTTAGCCTTTCTGTTTGTTTGTTTGAAACTCATGGCCATTCTTGTCCAGGCTGGCTTTGAACCATGATCCTCAGATCTCAGGCCCCTAAGTAGCTAGAATTACAGGGGTGAGCCACCAGCGCCCAGCTCTGTGTAGAACTTTCTATATTCCCTTTCTGGCATTGCTAAAACCTAGCTTAAATATTGCTTGTCTTGGGGGGAGGCTGGGAAGGGATGTGAAGGGTAAACAAAGGAGGAGGCTGCAATGCTTGATAAGAAATGTACGCATTACCCCTCTGTACAGTATGTTCACAAATAAAATAAATTAAAAAAAAAAAGAAATGTACGCATTAACCTGCCCATGTAATTGTAACCCCTCTGTACAGTATGTTCACAAAAAAATAAAAATTAAAAAAAAAAGTACGAAAAAAAACAAAAAAAAATATTGCTTGTCTTGTAAGATTTTCACAGGCTCCTACGGGCAGTTCATCAAAATCAGGGCTATTCTCTTCCACCCCTTTTTCTTGTTATTAATTCTTAGCAGTCAACCCTTGCTTAGTTCATGACAGTTAATAAGTATTAGTGCAGGTACTTGGGCTTAATTAGTTTAATGCCATCAGGGAAAGATAGAGTGGTAGTATTTTCTTACTGAAGATACTGGGTTTTACAGCTCTTGGCAACAGTCTGGCTCTCTTCCATAAACATTATTGTGGGTGGAGGCAGGTGTTTAAGATGAGTGACTCAGCAGCCCTTGAGACTCAGTTTTCTGAATCAGGAAGCTAGCTAGTTCAGTGTTCTGTTCAAATTTAATAATAACCATTTAATAATTATTAGCTCTGCCAGCCAAGAAGATTGTCTTTTGTTATTGTTGTTGTTAGCTATGGGGCTTGAACTCTGGGCCTGGGCGCTGTCCCTCAGCTTTTCAGCCCAAGGCTAGTGCTCTACCACTTGAGCCACAGCACCACTTCCAGTTTTCTGATAGTTTATTGGAGATAAGAGTCTCATGGACTGTCCTGCCCAGGCTGGCCTTGAACTGTGATCCTCAGATCTCAGCCTCCCAAGTAGCTAGGATTGTAGGCGTGAGCCACTGGCGCCTGGCTAAGAAGATTGTCCTTAAAAGCATTTTTTTTTTTTTCAGTGCTGAGAGTCATACCCCAGGGTCCTTGACTTGGTAAGACTCTTGCCACAGAGCCACACTTCCAAATCCTCTAGCCCTCCAATTTTATTTCTATAGTTGATAATAGCAAAGCAATAGCATTTTTTTCCCTCTAGAATATAGTTGCAAAACTATATTGTGCTAGTGAATATGGACTTTCAAACTATATATAAACACAGCCCCTATTCTTGGAGCTTTTGTTTTGGTCTAAAATTGGGATTGGAACTGGGTATCTGCCTTTTTTGCTTATTGGCTAGCACTTTACCAGTCCTGCCACACCTCCAGCCCCAAAGGTGTGCCCAGGCTGGTCTCAAACTTGTGATCCTCCTGCCTGATACTTCTTGTTGATGACTAGTATGTACCACTGCAAAGCCCCACGGGGCTTTTCAATCTAGTGAAACACCCTGTGCTTGATAATCATGCTCAATACTCTTCCTCAAGATCTGTCATCTCCTGAGTGATCTTTCCACTTGTAGGACAACTTATAGCTGTGATAACAGTGAAAGAAACTCTTAGGTGAGTCTTGACCATGATTGTTGTCTTTCTTTTCTGGGTGTGCCTGAGTTAAATCCCCTCCCTTCCTAACACTTCCTGGAGGGTCTTGTTTCTTCCATTGTTATGTCCTAAAAGAAGAAACCTTTATCTATTATATAGTATCTAAGAATGGGGTATGTTTTATGGCAACTTAGTTTTGAAAGTAATGAAATGGAAAATACTTTTTTTTTTTTTTTTTTTTTTTGGTCAGTTGTGGGGCTTGAACTCTGGGCTTGGGCGCTATCCCTGGGCTCTTCAGCTCAAGGTGAGCACTCTACCACTTGAGCTACAGCGCCACTAGTTTTTCTAGCGTCACTAGGTTTTCTAGTGGTTTATTGAAGATGAGAATCTCACGGACTTTTCTGCCCAGGCTGGATTTGAACCGTGATCCTGAGATCTTAGCCTCCTGAGTAGCTAGGATTACAGGCGTGAGCCACTGGTACACGGCTGGAAAATACTTTTAAAACTGCTTCACACTTTTCTGTTCTGACAATTTAAATCTTGATGTTGAAAGCATTTGTTTTATAGTTTCTTAATCAATTTCTCTCCCTTTCAGTCTTGCTCTGACTCTACTTGTTTTTCTAGAAGGTGCACATTTCTCCTGGTTCAGTTTTAAGTAGTTGTTGTGATGCCTAGAGCTGCTTTAGAGGCAGGGAATCAACCCTGAGATCAAGAATTTTTGTATAAAGAAAGGTTCTCTATCTTCAAGTAAAAAAGGAGTTGGAAAGCAGAGTGTAGTGGCTCACACCTATAATCGTAGCTACTTGAGAGGCTGAGATTTAAAGGATATGATTTGAGAGATCCCATAAATCCCAACCAATAAAAGGCTGGGCATAGTAGTGCACATTTTTATACTTACTACTGGAACACATACATAAGGAGGATTGCAGTCTCAGCCAGCACAGGCAAATTAGCAAGACTATCCAAAAACTAAGAGCAAATGATGTTGTGTGGCAAGGCATCTGCCTAGCAAGCCCAAGGCCACAACTCAACCCCCAGTACCACCAAAACAGAGAGGCGCTTGAGATAATTCATGAAATTGGTGGGGGCATTTGTCCTACCAGAGACGAGACTTACTGTAATGCCCATTTGTAGAACACATGCAAAGCATGCGCAAGGCTCTGGAATCAGCCAGTCTCCCCCAGGATGGAAGAAGAGAAAATGACTCTATAACCACAAGGACTGCTTCAGAGTTTTAGACCTGATCCTTACTGTGGGTTGCCCGGTGTCACTGTATCATTTATTTGGGACAGGAGGAGCTAGTTCTTTTTCATGACATGTTCCCATTTCTTTCCCTTTCTATTTTGGCAATAAATTACCTAAACAAGAATTATGATATTAGAATTGGCTCTCTACTAGTGTATAGAATGGTAAAGAAAGTCACCAGAGAATTAAAAAGCCTATAATACTTTACATGGGAACTCTACCTAATTGCACTAAAAAAATTGCAATACATAATTTTCTGAGTACACAAATGAATTGTACATGTGTTTATAAATATTGCACATTCATTACAACTGTGTAGTTATGATGCAAATCCCAAAAGTAACTTCTACTAGAGCTTTGTTTTTCTATTGAGCAAATCATGTAGGAGTTAAGTTCAAACTGTACCCCGTCTATCCTGGATTTCGTGTTAGAATTAACTAGGAAAAGTTTAAGAAATACTCAGGGGCACTGTCTTGTGGCTAGAAGAGACCAGGGGTCTGACAGTAAGCTTGTACTCAAATGGCCCTCATCTAGGAGACAAGCACACTCTTTGGTCTTTAGGTGGTCTACTTCAATTCCTCAGTTTTTACAAATGATAACAGAAAATTTATTTTTTCCTGTTAGTGAAATGCTGAGTTATCCGGTTTTCTAAATATTAAGGACCTAAAAATATGAATTAATAAATGTGTGAGTACCATATTCTTGTAAGCACACTATCTGTATGTCTTTCTTGTTGATAATGTTCATTTTTCAATCTATGACCAAGGTGCATTAGCTCCTGGGCAGGGCTTAGCTCCTCACTTCACCACTAAAAGTAGAGTTTCCGATAGCAATCTTGTGCTCTGTCCAAAGCTGATCTCATACTATTCTCAGATAGCTACCTTCTTACTCAGTGTAGTATGACTGGGAGTTTCCACCTTCCAGAGCAGTGAACCAAGTTGTTAAAACCCAGATGACCTAGTCATTAAAGTTTCAACTTCATCTGCCAAGAGAAGTTTTGTTCCCAAATTAAAGTGTTTCCACAGTTACTTTCGGCACTTGTGATTGAAGACGCTGGTCTTCAGTATGTTCTGGCATGCTGGGCTTGTAGCTCCGTCTCCGTCGATGGCACAGTCCATGTAAGACAATACCAAACGTAAATTTTGGTTAGTAATAGTTTTCAAGTAGCCTGGTTTTTTCCCCACCTGATAGAAGTTGCTGCATCTTTCCAAACAGGTTCTCTAATGGTCTTGCTTCACCATGGCCACAAATATGGAGGGGCTGGTTCAGCACAGAGTGGGGACCCAGCAGGTGGCTGAGGTGAGTTCCAGGGGCTGGCACCCTTGCTTTTGAGAGGAAAGAAAAATCAGTGTGCTCTGTTGTTTCAAAATAGTCCCAAGGAAGTTAGCACATGATCCAAATCCAAAGAGAAGAAAAAGGCAAAAATGACAAGAACAGTTGTTCATAACATTTCTTTGCATGAGCAGGTGGCTCATCTTGCATACAAGATGGCTTGAGCCAAACTAATAGAATGATTCTTGCTGTGGGAATTACTTTGAATTCTAACCCTATTATCATAGTTTCTCATACACTTGATATTTTACTAATACTGTAGAATCAGAGGCCGATGTTGTGTGCATTCAGCATACTTACCATTATCCTCATGAGAAATACGAAGGCGGGTGTGTCAGTGACCAGAAGACCTAGTTAAAAAATAATTACAAGCAACTTAGGAAGTACACCTACATGACATAGGGGATCCCAGAGGTGGGTCTTGAATGAAAAGTATGCATTTGTCACAGACCCAGGCAAGTAGGGTAGAAAATTTTCTATCTGATTCTAGAGGGAAGAAGGAGCCGTCTAAGTCAGAAATTCTGTAGTGGGCTGAAGCGTTACATGGACTGGTATGTACAGGCAACTTGAAGTTTAAAGGACGCAGTCAGGTCTAGCTCTTGAAAAGCATAATCTATCATCACTAATGAAAAACTTTGAATACTCATTCTGTACCAGACTCTCCCTATGCCAGGGCCTTAATCCTCACTATACACTTTTGAGGTTAGTGCTAGTATTTTCATTTTAGAGATGTTGGAACCAATACTCAAATACCAGGGGTACACTATAACAAACCTGAGATTCTAACCCACATCTTTTTATTGTCTGGAGTATCTTCAGCTAACCATGGCTCATACTGAAACTAAGGCCATTGGTTGATTGTGGGGCTTGAACTATGGGCCTGGGCGCTGTCCCTCGGCTCTTCAGCTCAAGGTGAGCACTCTACCACTTGAGTCACAGCACCACTTCCGGTTTTCTGGTGGTTCATTGAAGATAGGAGTCTCATGGACTTTCCTGCCCAGGCTATCTTTAAACAGTGATCCTCAGATCTCAGCCTCCTGAGTAGCTAGGATTACAAATCTAGCATGTGGCTAGATTTGTACTTTTGAATCATATTTCTAGAGCAGAGGCAAATTCACCAAGAAATGAACAAAGAAAGGACTTTAAAATTTTTTAAATTGTTATTATAAAGATGATGTGCAGAGGGGTTACCGTTTCATAAGTCAGGTGATGAGTACATTTGTTTTGGTCAATTTTACCCCTTTGCTTCATTGTCTCCCAGTTTTTTCCTCTCATCCCTGCCCATAAGTTGTATAGTTCATTTTTAGCATAATGTCTACTGAGTACCACTGCCTTTTTTTTTTTTTTTTTTTGTCAGCCGTGGGGCTTGAACTGAGGGCCTGGGTGCTGTCCCTGAGCTTTTCTGTTCAAGGCTAGTGCTTTACAACTTTGGGCCACAGTGCCACTTTCAGTTTTCTGATGGCTAATTGGAGATAAGAGTCTCATGGACTTTCCTGCCAGGGTTGGCTTTGAACAGCAATCCTCAGATCTCACTGAGTAGCTAGGATTACAGATGTGAGCCACCAGTGCCTGGCTCAAAGAAAGGACTTTTAAGAAAAAATTCTAAGTGTAAGGACTGAGCATGATGGTACGTGTGCCTATAATACCAGGTATATGGAAGGAATGGGTAGGAGGAATAAGAATCAAACTCCGATGCCAGCCCTGAGCAAAAACATAGGACCCTGACTAAAAAATAAAGCAAAAAAGGGCTCCAAGTGGTAGAGTGCTTGACTAGCAAGTTTTAGTCCTTACATTCCACCCTAAAATCACAGAGAGAGAGAGCAAAAGAGAGAGACAGAGAAGAAACTAAGTGACAACACACATGCCAGTTTAAAACAAAATGTTGAGCATATTTTTCATATTCTGTATCCACCATTAACTTTTAAAGAAATCGTGTATGTAGTTAATGTTCCCAGCACACACCAGCCAGTGATTGATATTAACTGAAGATGAGAGAGCGTCCAGTTGGTGGGGTGGTGCTAGGGAGGGAGCCCAGGGCAAGCACTAAGCTCCGCTCCCAGCCCAGAGCCCACAAAGTTTTGATAATTATGTTTCTTAGAGTTATGACGTATTAAAGTTAAAGTGCTTACATTTTTTGTTTTTGTTTGTGATAATACTTTGAAAATTGTTTTCAAGTATTATGGATTGTGTTTAATATGAGGGCTTTCTGTTGAGACTAGTTTGGAGAATAGTGTGTGGATTGCTGCCCTAAAAAGGCATCATTGTTTAGGGGGAGAAGTAATATAAGCTTCATGTATATATACACCCCCTGGAATTGGCTAGCCAACCTTTTTCATCAAATATCTTAATTCATTTAGACAATGAGATTTCATATATTGAGTATGACTAATATTTTTTTATTGTAAAAATAGAGTATGACTAATATTATAAAAACATAGAGACATCCTCAATTTTACATACTGAAGCAATGCTCCATAACTCACAAAAAACAAAATTATATATATGTGTACATATATGTATATATGTACGTGTATATATATATATATATATTTACTTAGCTCTCCTTGCTCTGTGTGTGTGGGGGGGGTGCTTGCGCGCACACTACGGGGACTTGAACTCAAGGGTCTTGCACTCCCACTTGACTTTCACTCGGATGGTGCCTACTACTTGAGCCATGCCTCCAGTTCTAGCTTTTTGCTGGTTAATTGAAGATGAGAATCTCATAGGTTTGTCTGCCCATGTAACTTTAAATGTCAGATCTCAGCCTCTTTTGTAACTAGGATTATAGGCCTGAACCACCAGTACCCACCTCCTTGCTGTTATTTTAAGGGATGTGTATGTTTATTTGAAATTTGGGGCTTAGTAATTTTAAACTGCATCTCATAACAATATACTACTTAGATTAGCTAAGCAAGCTACGAGAGTTTATAGATCATTCCAATGCCAGGCAGTAAAGGAATGGGAAGTAAGTATGCAAATTGAGCAGTCATTAACTATCAGTTTGTTGTTGTTGTTGTTTTTGGTTTTTTTGGGGGGGTCTGGTTGTAGGGCCTGAACTCTGGGCCTGGGCGCTGTCCCTCAACTCTTCAACTCAAGGCTAGCGCTATACCACTTGAGCCACAGTGCCACTTCTGGCTTTTTTTTCTTTTTGTTTATGTGGTGCTGAGGAATTGAACCCAGGGTCTCATGCATGCAAGGCAAGCGCTCTACCACTGAGCCACCTTCCCAGCCCCTAACTATCATTTTTTGTTTGTTTGTTTGTTTTTGTTTTTTTGGGGGGTCCAGTCGTGGGGCCTGAACTCTGGGCCTGGGCACTGTCCCTCAGCTCTTCAGCTCAAGGCTAGCGCTCTACCACTTGAGTCACAGCGCCACTTCCGGGTTTTTTCTTTTTGCTTATGTGGTGCTGAGGAATTGAACCCAGGGCCTCAGGCATGCAAGGCAAGCGCTCTACCACTGAGCCACCTTCCCAGCCCCCAACTATCAGTTTGAATAGTGGTTTTATTTAGTTAGCAAACCATGGGGGAACATATGCTTCTACCTTCCATAGGATACAGATGGCTTCCTGATGGGCATTAGGAAAGGGCTTCTTCCCTTTTAAGATGACTCTGTCAAAGAGGTAAAGCTGGGCCACACCAAAGGCCTGCGTGGGAAAGGACTGGATCAGAAAAGACTTAGGCTCAGTCAGTGCTCTGTACTTTGCTATGTCAGTGATCTTGTCCCCTCCTCTTGCAGAATACAGGTGTACCAAGCGCTCCCTACATATATAAGAATTTAATGAAAAACTAACATTAAAGATCTTTAGTCGGTGTCAAGCTTTTTTAATTGAGCACTTCATTTTTTCTGGGTTTGTGTTTGTTGTAAATTATGTACTTTTGTTGTGATTTGACATGGAGTCTCCTATCTCAGGCTGAATTGCTGAGCCAGAGTTGAACTCCTGGGCTCAGTAATCTTTCTGCCTTAGCCTTCTTAGTAGCAGAAACTCTAGGGTGTCACCATGCTGAGGGCCATTATACCTTTGCCTCATGAGTGAGAAAAACAACACTGTCAAGTCTGTAAATGAATTTCTCAGACCTCCAGGTCACCCCTTTTCTATATGGATCAGCAAAGTCACAAGAACCAATGTAAAACATGGAAACTGAGTGGTTCAGCATAATTTGTCAGATTTATTTAGTTATTCATAGAGACTACTGAATATAGTGTAGACTGTTGTACTGAGCGGAAACAGAGGAGCACCACCGAGCACTGAAAGATGTGAAGGTCCCTCACTAAAGCCATGGGTAGGAGAGCTGTCTATCACCAATAACAAAGGAACTCTGAGGGAAAGGGAAAGGGAGGGCTTAAAAGCAGAAACTGCAAAGTTGACATGTTTAGTTAGCTTGAGGAGGTTAGGTACTGACCAGATAAGAAGACGGCTCTGGGCTGGGATGGCGGCACATAGGGGGCTCGTGACCTAGGTGGGTTGTGAAGCAGGATGTCACAGTTGAGCAGTTTGCTGGGGGTATGTGGGGTTGTATTTTCCATTTTCCTAGACTGCTGGTAGCCCTTGTCATACAATTCCACATGGGCCTCTGCTTTAAAACTGGGTCCAAGGGGAAGCTAGGTATTTCAAGACTATAGACTGAACTCGATTGTTAGTTGGGTTTAATACTTTTTGACTTCAGTAAGGTCAGTAGTAAGTTCTTCTCTGTGATTTGCAGTAATAGTCATTTGAGTCATTGTGTTAGGCTTTTCATTGCTGTGACCTGATATCTAGCAGGAATAACTTAATGGACAAAGGATTTACTTTGCAGTTTCAGTCCATTGTGGTGGAAAGGATTTGGCAGAGCCCGACAACTCACAACACAGCAACCAGGAAGAAGGGGCCAGAAGGGAGAGAGATGAGAGAGAAGGGCAGGGGGAGAGAAGAATGCTGACTAGGATGCTGAGTAGCTGCTGACTTTATTTATCCCTTTTCCTCTGTACCATCT